TGGGTTTTATAGGGCCCCTATTTTGGTTAAATATGCCCAGGAATTTGGGGGGAAAGGAATAGGAACACCTAGGAAATTGACAGCTAATTGATATTTAGACTCTCCATGGTGGGAAAAAGGTCTTTGGACCATTCTTTGTCAAAGTGACAGAGGGGACTTGAGCCTCTCCAGTTGCTTCTTCATTTAGCTTGGCAAATTGGCTACTTAAGTACTTACAGATCCCCTGTAACACTTGAATCCCAAAGTGTAATTTTCGGATTATTGGTGCCTTACACTGTATGATTAACTGGGGGATCCAATTAAACCTTTCCTTCTTTGGAAGGACCTTGGCCCCAGGGGTAGTTTTATAAATCTAGAGTATACACCTATAGATTACTGGGCAGGGTAAAAGCACACCAGAAAGGGAAAGGACTGTTTTCTTTACTGAATGTTGTTTAATTAAGTAATGGTTTTGGGTATGAGTCCTTAGTATTTGTTTTTTAAGGTTTAGTGAAACTTTTCCTATATTTGATGACTTAGCCTCAGTGTTTGCATGAGTGGTAAGGATCTTTTTTCTTTTTCATGGATGCCTAGATGAGAGTTGATACATGATGGTCCCAAGGGAAATCCTAAGTGGGAAGATGTGAGCCATATAGAGTATTAATTATTGATCGGTCTTCAAGAGTGAACCCAGTTTATGTGCTCTCAGTTGAAACATGGGCTGTATTTGTAACTCTACTTAATTACTTGCCCAGTGCTCTGCACACAATTAACATACAAAAATGTTTGTTGATTTTAATTGAACTAATTATTTTAAAAACATAAGCTGAAAGGTCATTGTTGCCTAGGAAACAAATATAACATGCTTTTCTAGAATGTTCAGTTTGACTTTAATTTTTATTCCCCATTAAATTGCTCTATGTTTCTATAGGATTATATAGTTGTTCATCAAATTCTATCCAAGTTTAAGATTTCTTGACTTCCAGGGTTTTGCATTTTTATTGAAACCTCAATGATTTAGAGCTTCAGACTTGGAAATAGAATTTCTCTACTAGGGAATATTGGGAACACAAAATGGAGGCCCACCTCATTTCTGGTTTCCTGGAATGTTATTGGTATTCTATAGATTGCCTGAAATACCAAAACATTTGCTCCCCCTACTGTTGACGTCTGTGTATCACCATTCTTTTGCTGTTTTGGAATACATAAAATGGCTCTTGAATGAAAGAAGTATGGTTGGGAATTAAGGTTGACTAAAGAATGAATAATGACTGTGGGACCATAGAAAGAAACCTGATGATCAAAAGTCTTGTTCCAATATGGAAAAAAAATACTAGCCATATTTTTCTCACTAAGAAAATCCTAGCAAAAATAGAAAAGAAGAAATTGAAATAGCATGCAAATCATATGGTGTTATTTCTACCTTTTTTCTTTAGATTTGCCAGGCATTTCCTAAAAAGCACTGGGATAACTCAGAACTGTTTTTATTTCCATTATATTTCGAACAGCATGACTAAACTGTCTAAGAAAATCAGTTTAGCTTGCATTAGACCTCATCAGACCTTGGGTAATTGTTTTCAAATCAAAATCCATCTCCACTGCAAAATATTTTTCTTTTTTATTTTTGCTTTTATTTTTTTAAAAGTTGAATATTGATAACTATTCATATAGAATTGTTAGCTTACTTAAAAATTAAATCAAACATTTCTTGCATGAACTGGATTGGATACTGGTAAAAACAATACTAATTTATGCTCATGTGTATATATTATAGACATTCTCATCTTATCAAATATCAAATCCTAGTTTTGATTAGAGACTATCCTTAGCAGTCAGAGATTCTAGCTTCATGTCTATTTGTGCTTTGGCATTCTATGGAGATAATAATGTTGATAGAATACATTTTTAGTCCCCTAATATTAGTATGACAAAACCATGAAGCAGTCATGAGTCAATAATTTCCTGAAGTGGAGCACATCTCTAAGAACACATCATGACCCACTAAAGTCTTATTGCTTATTCATTCAGTTGTACCAGACTCAGGATCCCATGAACCCTAGCACACCAGGCCTCTCTATCCTCCACTATCTCTCAAAGTTTGCCCATGCTCATGTTTGTTGCTTCAGTGATACTATTTATCCATCTCATCCTCTGTCATACCCTTCTCCTTCTGCCTTCAATCTTTTCTAATATTTTTCTAATAATGTATTTTCTAATATTTCTAATATCAAGGTCTTTTCCCGGCTTTTCATTATGTGGCCAAAATATTTAAGTTTCAGCTCCAGTATTTATCCTTCCAATAAGTAGTCTGAATTAATTTCTTTAAGTATTGACTGATTTGATCTCCTTGCTAGCCAAGGGACTCTTAAAAGTCTTCTCCAGCAGCACAATTTGGAAGCGTTGATTCTGCAATGCTCAGCTTTCATTATGGTCCAACTGTCACTGTCTTACATTGCTACTGGAAAAATCATAGCTTTGAATATGTGGACATTTGTCAGCAAGGTAATGTCTCTGCTTTTTAGTATGCTATCCAGATTTGTCATAGCTTTCCTTTCAAGGAACAAGTGTTTTTTTTTTAATTTCATGGCTACAGTCACTGTCTGCATTGATCTTTGAGTTCAATAATATAAAATCTGAGACTACTTCCATTTTTTTTCTACCTCTATTTGCCAGGATGTGATGGGACAAATTGCCATGATCTTCATTTTTTTTTTAAATATCAAGCTTCAAACCAGCTTTTTACACCCTCTTCTTTCACCCTCATCAAGAGGCTTTTTTATTCCTTTTCATTTTCTACCGTCATAGTGGTATACTCTGTATATCGGAATTGTTGATATTTTTTCCTGGCAACCTTATTTCCATCTTTTGATTCATACAGCCTTCATTATACAAAATGTACTCTGCATAGAAGTTAATTAAATAAGACAAATGTCTTACTTCTATAAAAGTAGAATCTTAGTCATGGAAGAGATCTCAGTGATCATCTGGTCCAACCACTACTATACATAAATCCTACCTGTAGCACAACTGTAGTCATCCATCCATCGCTTTAGTACACCCAGCGATGAGGAACTGACCTCCTACTGTGGTAATTCACTCCTCTTTGAGGTAGCTCTAAATACAAGTTCATAGGATTTAGAGTTGGAAGAGGCTTTCAAGATTATGTGGTCATAACTTTAATTTTGTTTATAATTGAAGAAACTGAATCACAGAAGGTCATAGAGATGGTAAGCAGAAGATTCTTTATTTGTCCCAGCAATTAGGACACCAAATCAAGTTCTCTTTCAACTATATGAAGAAGCTGTGTGGAGTCAGGAATAATCAATCAACTGACAAGCATTTATTAAGCACCTGCTCTGAGGCATGCACAGTGCTAAATGCTTCGGGTACAAAGAAAGGCAAATAGAAAGAGCCCCTGTGTACAAGAGTATAGTCTTATGTGGAAGATAATATGCAAGTACTAAGGAAGATATGAGTTTAAATCCCACCTCAGATCCTTCATAGCTGTGTAGTACTAAGCAAACCAATTAACCTGTCTCAGTTTCAGTTTCCTCAACTGTAAAATGGGCATAATAACAGCACTACCTCACCAGGTGATTGTGAGGATCAAATAAAAAATTAGGTAAAATCCTTTGCAAACTTTAAAGTGCTTCATAAATGTTTGCTATTAAGACCAAAAAAAAAAGAGGCAAAAATTCTGACCAAAAAAATCTACATACCTGCACCATCCAATGATTAGTCTTAGCTCACCCCTATAGAATCAAGCTGAGCAAAGTTAATCCATCTTCCACGTGAATAAATGAAATAATCTTTGAAAAACACTTAATCACATACCCAGCAAAACTGAGCATATTCTTTCAGGGGAAAAAATGGACATTTAGTGAAATAGAGGACTTTCAAGCATTCTTGCTGAAAAAACCAGAACTGAATAGAAAATTTGACTTTCAAATACAAGACTCAATAGAAACATGAAGAGGTAAACAGGAAAGAGAAATCATAAGAGACTTATTAAGGTTGAACTGTTTACATTCCTGCATGGAAAGATATTTGTAACTCATGAGACCTTTGTCAGTATTAGGGTAGTTGGAGGGGAAAAAATTACATGTACGTGTGTATAGAGAGAGAGATAGAAGGCACATGGTGAGTTGAAGATGAATGGGGTGATATCTGGAGAATAAAATTAAGGGGTGAGAGAAGATTAGATTGGGAGGAGAAAGAGAGAGGTAGAATGGGGTGATTATCTCAAATAAAACAGAAAAGAAAAGGCTTTTACAGTGGAGGGGAAACAAGGGAAGGTGAGAGGGAATGAGTGAATTTTATTCTCATCAGATTTGGTTTAAGGAGGGAATAACATACACACTCAATTGCGTATGGAAATCTATCTTACCCTACAGGAAAATAGGGGGGCAAGGGGACAAGAGAGCAGAAGTATGATAAAAGGGTTAGCAGATTGGGTGAGGGGGTAATCAGAAGCAAACACTTCTAAGGAAGGACAGGGTCAGAAGAGAGAATAGAATAAATGGAGGGTGGGATGAGATTAAGGGAAATATACTTAGTTTTTCACAACATGACTACTATGGAAGTGTTTTGCAAGACTACACATGTTTAACCTGTATCGAGTTGCTTGCCTTCTCCATGACGGTGGGTGGGGAGGGAGGAAGGGAGAAAATTTGGAACCCAATACTTTAAAAACAAATGTTAAGAAAAAAACACTTAGCACAGTGCCTGCAGCACAGTAGGTGCTTATTTAATCAACACTTATTGTCTTCCCCCACCCCTTGCACATGACAAACCTTCAAATACTTGGTGTGCTTTTAGATCCACATCTAAATCTTCTTTCCTCCAATATAAATATTTCTAATTTCTTGAGCTAGATCTAACATGGCATAGCTTTAAATCCAGGCAACACCTGGAGCCCTTAAGACATTACCAAATGAGTGTATCTCAAGTTTCTAGTGGCTATTGTCCTTCAAATCTCAAATTCTGAAGAGTTGTTTTTTCTTCATTTTTTCTCTCCTTAGGTATATATTGTAGAAGAATCTGGACTGGCCATTCTGGTGTGGTCTGTGATTGGAAACAAAGGCAGGGACTGGATGTATGGAAATGCCCTTCTTTCCAGTAATGGCCCCTTTAAGGTGGCCTTTGAAGCTGACCTTGGAGGAGATGATTCCACTTTTATTGCTATTGATGATATCTCTTTCACCCTGGAATGCGCATCTGGAGGTAAATGTAAAAAGAAACCTGTTTCCTATTAATGGTGGCTGTTTGTGTATATAACTAGAGAGTAAAGGAGACCATCTGGTAATGCTCCTTTGTGGCTAAGGACATTTCCACTCACAGGTGGAGTAGATGTGATTAAAGGAGCACCAGAAAAGCCCTGCTCCTATATACATGCCTAAAAGTTTGTCTTTATTTTGTTTTACTGCCGTTAGACATACATTCTTTTAATTGGCAAACATCTATTTCCTAGGGAATGCTCCTAAGTGAATACTGTTAAAAGGGCAGCATTCATTCACACCTTAGCATGAATTAGCTTATTCAGACGGTTCTTTTCCTAACAATTGGTTACAATGGCTCACTGAAAAGAATTAGCATTTTGAAATGGTGGGAGTTTCATAAAGAAAGAATATATTAGGAACATGGGTAGTATTACCTCAGTAAAGCAACTCTTAGTGAATATTTGGGTGAGGGTATTGTACAACAAAAAAAAAATGATCATTTGAAGGTTAAAGGTGTCTGGGAGATCAGCAAAGACAAACTTCACCTTCCTCCCAGTTTGCTTTGGGCATGCCATACCTAGAACCAGTTGGCTATTATCTAAGTAATAGATACATATTCATAAGAGAGGAATAAACTGACTGAAAAATAAAACATGCAGAGAGAAGGAAATATTCTTAACTTACAGCTTCTGTAACAGTATTTTTTTCTTGATAATCTCAAACTCAAGATACTGAACTCTCATAAGAACCAAGAATAGGTCAGTGTCATTGTTTGGGATGGAAAATGACAATTTGTATTTTTAAGTAAGGAGACCATTAAGTCAGTACTTAACCACCTTCTTAATAATTGCTGTTGATTGTTCTGTGACAACGTCTTAATATTTAAAACAATCCCAACATTATTCCTTGTTTCACTTTTTTTTACTGTATGAATCTTCTCTAAGATGAAAAATGATATCTTAAAAATCAGCTGTCTACTTTAACCAAATCTGATGTGAAACTCAAATTTGCCAACACGTTGGCATCTCAGCCTTTTCCTGTTTGTCCTCTCCAATCCTCTTGAGTCCCAGAAGTTTGTAGCTTAGGTGCCTTTAGTTTTTCCTTTGTGTCACATTTTATCCTGGTATTTTTAATATGTCTTTTTATAATAGCATTTCTTTTTCTCTCTTTGCAAAAAAACCCTGACTCCAGTTACCCACCAATACCAAATTCCTTTGGTCACAGAAAAGTTTTGGCTATTTGGTGTTGATGGTAGTCACAGCTCCTCATAATAGTACCTGGTCTCAATTTACCCTTGATTTTGGGGCCTCTGTCCCAGCTGCCGATCTGAGTTCACCAACTCATTCCACACTCAATAGCCAGTAGAAGCTAATTACTACTGTCACCTTCTCATTGGAGTCAAGGTTAAAATGAGGAAATTAGACTGAAAAGGTATCTTTATCAATCTTAAGAAAATCAGACATCTGAATGTGTGGGCAGCAGCTCCAACATATAGCTTATGTGTGAATTGGCTGTCTCTCACTGAGTTCAGAGAACCGGTTCTACTGTCAGAGATGATGAAGCCAGAGGTGGGAACTGGACTATCAGACCATGACCTGCCTTGTCATTATAGAGTTTTTGTCCTCTGAGGATTTTGAAATCCAGAAGGCTTCTGAATAGTTGCTTCTAAATGGCTTCTGTTAATGACTTGGGTAGATTGTTTTAGAATGCTCTGAATTGGGTTGTTGCTTACTCATATTACTATCAGTTTCTTTTTCCACCATCGTTAAGTTATTTACATACAGATTGCTCATAACATGGACTTACATGTCTTTAGGTGGGATTTATTGATGTGGTAATATCTAGGATATACTGATTAATTTTATCCAACTAAATAAGAAAGCCAGTTGATTACTAGAAAATTGTCTGACATGCCTAGCCTGATGATATTTTGAAAAAGAGATTGTTGTGGCTTCAATTTGCATCTTTCTCAGCATGATGAAAACAATAGACCAGTATAATTTCACTGGGTATATCTATTGGATTTATAACTATTGTGTTTGGGGGAGAAATAAATTATTAAAAAATATTTTCACAAGTTGTGTGTGTGTGTGTGTGTGTGTGTGTGTGTGTGTGTGTAAGGGGGTTGGATAAGATCTCCTTCGAGGTCCTTTACAATTCCAAATCTATAATCCTGTTATCATAGGATCACATATGGTCCCAACCACACATACACATACATGCAATGCACACAAATGCATGTATACATGTATAATTATAGGTATATATGTGTATACTTGCATATATGTATGCACACACATATAGTCACAGGATTAGCATTGTAAGGCATATTAAAGGACATCTCATTCAGTCTCCTCATTTTACATTTGAAAAAAAATTAGGCTCAAATAGATTAAGTGATTTGTTGATGTCACAGAAATAGCAAGTTTCAGCAGCAAGATTTGAACTACTAAATGGAAGTCCTTCATTTTATGCCATGACACATCATCATCATTCTCATAATAGTTTGCATTTATGTATCACTTTACAGTTTGCAAAGTGCCTTAAAAATATTGTCTCATTTTATCCTCAAAATAAGTCTGGGAGGTAGGTGTTATTATTGTGTCTCCATGTTACAGATTAGGACACAGAGAAAGACAACTTTGTTAAGTGATTTTCTCAGGGTCACAGAGCCAGTGAGTGTCTGAAACTAGATTTAAACGTAGGTCTTCCTGACTCCAGATCCAGCACTATAGTCTTCCACAGAGAGGTGTGTGGTGTGTGTGTGTGTGTGTGTGTGTGTATGTGTGTGTGTACGTGCGCGCTAGACTTCAACGCAGGAAAACCTGAGTTCAAATCCTACCTAAGACACTTATTAGCTGAATAACACTGGACAAGTAACTTTATCTCTGTCAGCCTCAATTTCTTCATCTACAAAATGGGGATAACAAATACCTTGAGGGTTGTTGTGACAATCAACCTTAAAGCACTGTATAAATGCTAGGCATTTATTATTACTTGTGTCTATACATACATTCATACATGTATATAAACCAGTTTCCAGAGAACCTGTAGTTTTGTGGATGTAGGTATGCCAACCACCACCATCACCATCACCATTGTTATCGTCATTGCCTAATGGCCAGCGTCCTAGAGATATAAATCTTAAAGTTAGCTAGGCCAGTCCTTTCATGAAGTTTGGTCATCAGCCTTAGACTGAAACTTCTTCAGCTTGTTAGGTCTTGCTATAGTTTCTGTTTCACTGTTAGAACTTTGAAGTCAGGTATTCAGCAAGCATTTATTAAGCACTTACTAAGTGTGTAAAGTACTTTACATTGTGTGAAGTACTAGAGATACGTTGAAAGATGAAAAGATGATCCCTACCCTTAAGCTTACATTCTAATGGAGGAGACAGCATATAAATAACTTAGAATATAAAGGTTATATAGAAAGTAGTGTTATTGTTTAGGGGTTCTTTGGTCATGTCTGATTCTTTGTGAACTCTTTTGAGGTTTTCTTGGCAAAGAACTGGAATGGTTTACTCATTTTATAGTTGAAGAAACTGAGTAAAACAGGGTTAAGTGACTTGCCCAGGATAATACACTTGCCTAGTAAGTGTCTGAGGCCAGATTTAAACTCAGGAAGATAAGTCTTCCTGACAGCTGGTCTGGTGCTCTATCCATTGTACCACCTAGCTGACTGTATAGAGAGTAGAAGGGAGGTAGTCTCAGAGGGAAGGCTTAAGGTGGAGACCAGAAAAGACCTCTTGGAAAAGGTAGAATTTCCATTGAATCTTGAAATAAATCAGGGAAATGAAGGGGGAGAGGTGAGATAGGCTCAGCATTCCAGATGTAGGGGATGGCCAATGATGAAGAATAAAAGGAAATCTTCAGTGGAGGATAGACATATAGCATTTTATAGATCCACTTTCCCAATCTTTAGAAGCTTGCAAGGTCAAAGACAATTCCAACATTCCTTCATCTAAAAACAGGGAGAAGAAATGCAAAGGGTCAAAGAAGAGAGACCCAAACATGAAGGTCACATGGTGCCCTAGATGAGCAGCATCCAAAGCATCTCCCCATCCAGAAGCTCCCTACATTACCTCTCTCATTCAAAGACCAGCTGGATAGGCACACGATAGATAAGGCTTTCCTTTTGGCCAATCAATGCCTCCTGACAGTTTTCAGCTGTGGCTCATCCCTTCATTCTCTTCTTATCAGATTATAACCAGTTACAGAATTTCTGCAGATACTCCAAATGGAGAAGGGGGCCCTGCCCTTGCACATTATAATGCCTTTGAAGACTTGGACTCCTCAGCTTCTTTTATGTGGAGATATCATCAGATGAGCACATAGAATATGCCCACTAGCCCTAGCCCCTTATTACATTCTTCCCCTGTTGCAAAATTACCTGTCCTTGGCAAATTGGTTGATGTGTTTTGAACCTATTATCCCAGTCCTCTATCCAGTATTGTTCACGGAGGTCCCAAAGAAGCATGAACATCTTCTATTCGCTTTTCTAGTGTCATACAGTAAAGTCTCAAATTCACAATCTGATACAGCCCCACATGTACACATGAAAATCACAGTTGTCCCCAAATACAGTTATGCAGATTCAACAAATAAAGTATATTTCAAAAAGTTTAAAATTTTTTTTTAAAAAATTCAGTTTAATTTTTTTTGTTACAGTTTTAGTTCTAAACTATCTCCTTTCCTCCTTCCCCACCCCACACTAGAGAAGGCTACCATTTCACATGGACTTCTAAATATATGTAAAACCATACTACGAATACTTCTGTTTAGCAGTAATGCAGTGTTGATGGAACTGTGAACTGATCCAACCATTTTGGAGAGTAATCTGCAATTATGCCCAAAGACTTATAAAACTGTGTATACCCTTTGACCCAGCAATAATACTATTAGATCTGTTTCCCAAGGTGATGGGGGGCAGGGGAAGAAAAAAGATTAAACTAGGTTAAAATGTAACAGGGAAATATTTTAACAAAAATAAATAAAAATACAATAA